GGTTGCCCGCTTTTCTCTGATTGGCTGCTACAGTTTCTCATATGATTAAATATTAATTTGAATTTTATCGTTTTTCATACACTTTTAAGATAATCTTGCAAGATTATGTTAATCTTGAGATTATCAAAAAGAGAGGATCAAGCATTAATCCCGATATCCACCATTCTAAAGTTTTCAGCTCAGAACTATCACCAATGGCAGATAAGTATACTGCGCGGTCACGTGTCTCCGCCTGTATCACGTGACCACTTTACTGCACTGCCATTGGTGGAATTTCTGGTCAAGCAATACGGACGTACAAATAATATTATGAATTAAATCTATAAAAAATAGAAATAACAAATATAAAATTAGAATTGGAGTAAACCTAAGTAATAATTAGCTTTCTCTGGGATATCATCGTTTTCAGATTGGTTGCATACTTGCTAAATTTGATCTTTTTAAGCCCAATACTTTTATACAAAATTGTATATATATATTAATTTTCGTATAAATTTGTCAAAGTTGTAAATCAATTTCTCGAGATAGGAACATCAGATATAACTTTCATGGGTCGCGATCGAGAGCTAATGTGATTAGCTTTCAGCCTATAACCCATTTCATTTTTCCTGTACAGTCCCTTTAAGACTAAAAAGGAATTGGAATATATATGTCATACAAAATAAAAACAGATATGGTTAATTATTAGGGACAACTTATTCCTTTGTAACCAGGAATTTTCACTTAAATTGATCTTTAATTTTTCCTGTAAAATAGTAATTTTCAAATCATTTTCAATTGAAACATCAGCAAAATACAACTTATTTGTATATAGGTAGAACTAAGATACTAAAAGTCAATTCGAACTGATTGTTTTCTTTTAAAAAATAGTTTATTTCTCATTAAAAAGAATACCTGATGTGCATGCCAAATTATATCCATATCATAACAAGGGACCAGGAAGGTTTCAGGATTTTTCTTTTTCAATCTGCAATTTATAAGAATTAATACAATTTATAACAATTAATACAATTTTTAATAATTAATACAATTTTTAAAAAGTTTGATTGTTAAAAAGCTTTTTTGAATTACAAGTTTACAAGTAATGAAAATGAAGCTTTTTAATTGACAGCTTCTCTTGACCTCTATGTTTACGTATATATCTCTGCTGTTTAATAGCTTGATATAAATCAAAATTAAAACCAAAAGTCGTCTTCATTGTATTGATATATGCGACGACGACTGTTTACCTGAGGTACATTTTATAGCGGCGCACACTCCCTTCATGGAACTCAGGGTCAGCGTAGTGGGGTAAAGAGACCTGGAAAACGAAAAATATTTTAAAAGGGGAGTCTGGCTAGACATGGTAATTGGTAACTGAGCTGAGAATGCAGTATTGTAGAGAAGTTCTTTAGGAATCATTTGAGACCTATGAGACGTTTTTATTGTGCATATTTGTTTAGCAAGAGCGCAAATTTAAGTCCTTAAATGAATCCTAAAAATTTCTTTACAAACTGCAAGCTCTGATCAACTCCTTTTAACACTTAAAAACTGTTATAAGGGGAAATTTCATTACTTTTATAAGAACCTTCGCTTTAAAAACACTTTACGCCCCTTTCTTTTTATAATTTTAGGTTTTTTTGTTTTACTTCAACGGCAGCAGTTTTTTCATCATACATTATACAAACAACCAATTGGAAGAGTTTTCCAAAAATTATTTTTAGGCAATTTTTCTTAAAATTTTGGTTTTGTGCAGCGACATAACAAACTTTTAGCCTAACAAATAGGACTTTTTTCCACAACGAATTTAGGTTTAGCGGTTTTAGGGTTTACTGGATACAGACAGACAAGAAATATATATATATTGGACTTGGATGAATCGGTGTTTTTAATAAGTTTCTTGCAACGAGGTTAAAGTGTATAGAGTGATGATATACACTAATCCTTTACTAATTTTATAGGCCATGAACTATACCGACAGCGCACTGCATATTTGTTTATTATAAGTTGATTCTGGCCTAACCTATAGTATATCAATATTAGTAAACAGTTGAAAGTGAACATGTTACAACTAACTGAGCACACAGGTATATAGAACTATCATCCCCCTGGTTTCTTGGATGAATCTGTGTTTTTGATAAGTTTCTGGAAGTAGATGAGACAGGATTTAGATTCAGTTCAAGAGAGCTAGAATTATATATATATATCTTTCATGTTTTAATTAGGAATGTTGAATAGATACAGGGTAACCCACAAAGGATAAGACTTCAGAGACGACTGTACAAATTTTTTTGAGTAATGTTTCTTGTTTAGATGGTTTCCTATAGCTTTAAACGCGCTGCTTATCTTGTCTTACTTAATGACTAGGGCCCCGAAACAATAATTTGGAAAGTTTACCAAACCAAATAATAGATTTTGGACCAATCAGGTCGTCTTTATTTTGTCTGTTCCACCTTTAAGCATTTATTAAAATTACCTACATGTTGTTAAGTCCTGTTCAATTCAAGAACCGAGCTAGAGCGAGCTGTACAGTACATATATATATATATCATACCAGGCAGAGCGGGACAGTACACCAAACGAACCAGCCCCCTCTAGGTAAATTCTCGTGTGATATTGTGTACCTGGTAGTAGAAAGATCGTTGTCTAGCGGCAGCATCTTCAATATTGTATCCAAACTTAGACTCCAGACCATTTTTAACATCATCTAAAACATCATAAATCTCCTTCTAACATTAAACATTTTGCCAAATTTTTTGTTGATGGCGGATAATTAACAATAAAAAAAGTTAAAAAATTACTTTTACCAACCTGTCTTAATTTCTTTTTCAAAATCTAAGTCGAATGGTTCATTAGGATATTCTTTCTCCCAGATTAATTTCGTTCGTTCTCTACAAATTATATTAAATTTCCAATATTAAAAGGACTGTTAAGGGAATTTCAATAGTTACATATTTTCTTTTTTCTAGATTAAAAAGATAAATTTTGTCAAATTTCCTCCTAACAAAGCTGTATAAATCAGATTTATGTAATAGAAAGGTCAGTAATAGATATGACTACCACTATTAAGTTACAAAGGTTACAGTTGTGAATTATGCATATAACTTTGAATTCAAAGGGAGTGAACGGCTATGTAAGGGAGTTGAACTGAGTATGCAGTGTTGTGGAAAACTTCTTTCGGATTCATTTGAGACATTTAAAACTTTTTAAAGATCTGTAAATCCTGAGTTTGAGCGATCTAAAACTAACCCTGCTAGAGAGAACACATCAATGGGAACTTCAGATTGCGCAATATTCTCACGCCTAAATAAAAATGACATTTTTTAATAATTTAAAGATGGTATTTTTCAGCATTGGTTGCAGGAAAGTTAGACCTTTGTGAAGAAGTTGCCAAAAGAAATGAAAACATGGAGAGTGCCCAAATATTGTATAATATGGAGAGTGCCCAAATATTGTATAATATTTCTTTTAATTTTGAATTTGCGAAGATTATAGCAACGCAATTAAGTTTAAGCTATTTCAACAATATGTTCATAATTTTAACAATATGTTTATAATTTTAACAATATGTTCATAATTTCAACAATATGTTCAGAATTTTATCAATATGTTCATAATTGTAACAATATAAGGACTTTTTTCTACGAGTGCAAAATTGCTCAATAATAAGACAAAACTTGATTGTCTAACTAATATTTTATTTTCCACCATTAATTAGAAATTTGACATAAATATATAATTTTATTTTTACCTCGGGTTGCAAGAGAACCAGGCTGCAACTCCTGATTTTTTTCCAGGTTTCCCGGCTCGTATATTTAGTTTGGGTTGACTGCAAACATTAGAATTTTATTCATATCGTTAAAATGTTCCTATAATATCTAGGATTAATAAAATCATGATCCTGATCCAAATATATAAATGCCAAAACATGCCAGGTGGCCGACACAAAACCAGCATAGCAATTATTTATTTTTTCTTTTCTACCGATTTAAACGTTTTTTCTGTTTTCTTTATTTTTCTCTATAAAAGCCAACCTACTTAATTAAGAATTTTTGAACCAAGCTGAGAACATTCCCGTGGTTCTACCGAATTCCCAAATATAAATTTGGAGGAAATTGATGAAGGGGTTCATGAGTTATGAATATAATCGGATATTCGGACAGACAAACAGAGATTATACTACTTTATATATATATAGATATATGTATATATAGTTTTACACTTATAGACTTTGCTCCCCTTTTTCTAGTTATATTTTTATATGTAAGATGTTTCCTTACACATGCCACAATTTTTATATTTTGAGTATTAAAAAGCACGTTTGTTTAATAAACCAATAAATGGATCTCATCTACAGCTACAGGATGATTTTTTGCCATAAAAATATTCTTAATTGCTAATTATGACTAATTTGACAGTGTATAAGTGTACAGCTCCCAGACATTATAAACGAGAGAACTATAGGACTGTATAATTTCTGAACAGTCTGAAAAAAATTAAAAAATGTAAAAAGAATCAAATCTGACATTCCTCGTATTTGTGGCTTTGAACTGAACCAAGCCTTCAGAATTCATGGCTTCAACATTGTTCTCATCAGTAACACTAAACAAAAATTCAAAACATTTAATAAATATTGTTTATAATTATGACAGTATACGAGTTTGGAAAAATATTTAAAAAGGAAATTCATAAGTGCCATAAAGTATTTTAGGTCTTTTTTTAATTAAAATGAACAAACAAAAATATATGTTTGTGAATGAAAAGGTTTATTTTTTTATAGATATAATGATATCTATAATAATAACTATAATGATAACTAAAAAGATAACTATAATGATAACTATAATGATAACTATAATGATAACTTTAATGATAACGTAACTATAATCTCCGTGAAAACAGCTTAATCGAAATTTTATTATCTTTCATCAGCAATGGAACAGGTTTCTGCGACTATTGTAACCTTTGGAGATACTTGAACAAAGAAATTAACTCTTAAACTGCCGAATTTCAAAAGAAAGAGATTACTCTTTTCTGACAATACAAAAATTCCAACCTCTGATGAATAATAAAATAACTAAGTTTAAGCCATGTAGCACAAACTCTGATTTTCTAATACCTATATCTTTTTAACCAAAAGTCGTAGACCTTTGATATTTCAAACTATGGACTCTGCTAGAGCAAATAGTCTAAGTTTGAAATATCAAAGGTTTACACCATCAGCACTCTAATATGCCGAGTCCAATAGCGCCTGATCCAATCAGGGTTAAGTCAGGTGTTTGTTGTTGTCTATTCTGAACCAATAGAAATAGTATGGCGGTTACATCTATCTTTCTATCTAGCTCATTATCCAATAAGAGATAAATCCTTATTTCGGCGCTACAACAGTAAATGGAAATATTTACTTCTACTGAAACTAAAGTGTCAGGTTGCAAAGACATAAAGATTAGAACATTTGAGTTTGTGGTAAAGACTCCATTCGTTTGTTTCTTAAAATCCATAAATAACCTGAGAACATTGGAATAAATATCTGTTTTCTTCTTCTTCAAATTCTGGTTTCCTGAAAGAAACTGTTTGTTAGTAAATAATAAATAAAATACCAATAAGAATGCAATATCTGAGGGAACAAATAATATCGAAAACCAAGGCGGGAATGAGACAATATAAGTGCTGAGTAAACAACTTTTTTCAATTTTCCTTATTTTTTCTTCATCAGTTTTCATTTTTTTCAGTTCATTTGCTCCTTTCTTTCTCCTTTCTTTTTCAAACTTTTTTTCATTTTTTTCTTTCTTGCATTTCCTTCTTTTCCATACTCCCTTCTTCTTCTCATCCTTCCTTCATCTTCTTTCCACTTTCTCTCTTTTTCCTTCTTTTCCCTACTCCTCTTTTTCCTAACGCTTTTTATATCTTCTTTCCACTTTCTCTTCCTTCCCCTCATTCCTTCTTCAGTATTCTCCTTATCCTTCCTTCAGCTCTTTTCTAATTTTTTTTCCCTACTCCTCTTTTATTTACCCTTTTTCATCTTCTTTCCACTTATTTTTCGTCACTCCCCTTGTTTCTTTTCCTACTCTTCTTCTTTTTTACCCTTCCCTTATATAGTTTCCACTTTCTTTTCCTTTCCTCTCCTTTTTTCTCATACTCAATACTTCTTCATTACCGGTCCTGCCTTTCTTTTACTTTCCATTTTCTTATCCTTCCACTCCTACCCTCTTTTTTTACTTTTTCTTCTTTCTCACCCTTCCTTCATCTTCTTTCCATTTTCTTATCCTTCCACTCCTACCCNTCCATTTTCTTATCCTTCCACTCCTACCCTCTTTTTTTACTTTTTCTTCTTTCTCACCCATCCTTCATCTTCTTTCCATTTTCTTATCCTTCCACTCCTACCCACTTTTTTTACTTTTTCTTCTTTCTCACCCGTCCTTCATCTTCTATCCATTTTCTTATCCTTCCACTCCTACCCTCTTTTTTTTCTTTTCTTTTTTCTCATCCTTCCTTCACCTTCTTTCCATTTTCTCTTCTCATCAGTTTCAGAAATGTTGAAAAAAGTTTTGACAACCCCCTTTCACCTGTTCCAGTTTCCAGTTGGACTGAGAGCTCAACACTTGAATCATTCATATCAGGTAGATCACTGATCTTAACACTGGACACTAGGCACAGAAACAATCAATTAATCAATCAAATCAAGAATTTCTTAAAAATGCATTTGTAAATTTATTGATATTTATTGATATATTTAAATCTCCGCCATTAAATATTGATATAAAAAATATTAGTAGAACAAATAATGAATATTAAGTTTTTTTGCATTGATTATCCTGCCTGTAACATCCATCTCTCTAGGGGCCAGCAAACTTTGCTGAAAATCAAGGCTGATACCAAACAGTTTGCCCTATTGAAGAAAAAAGAAAAAGTTAAAAATTAATTGTAGACCAACAAACTTGGCTTGAGCTCTAATTTACTAAACCATATATCACACTTGTTTGCCGATTCCATTAGCGCCTTATCCAATCAGGGTTCAGTCATGTGTTTGTTGTCTATTCTGAACCAATAGAAATAGTATGGCGGTAACATCTATCTTTCTTTCTATCTCATAATCCAATTAGAGATATGAATCCTTTAATCGGCGCTATCAGTAAATGGAAATATTTACTTCTACTGAAACTATAGTGACATCTTCGTAACCTGATTGAGTATTTTAAATTTGGATTATGAAAGGTCTTCGACATCAGGTTGCAAAGATGTAAGGATTATAAATTAGAATAAGGAGAGGAATCAGTTCCTTTGTTTTTACACTTTGACTCTTTTATCACAAAAAAAACAATAGAAAGAATGCATTGTTGGTGCAATTGGTTTTTTCATTTATTTTTCTTCCAAAAAATAAATGTTTGGTCACTGAAATTACTTTTTCTAAATGCGTATCAAAAAGATATATAATTATGAAAGTTTGATATTTCATATATGTGATAGTTTCAAGACACAATCTTAGACGTGTTACGTGATAGACAGCTGCGCTATCTTGGGCAGGGGCTCGACTTACGGAGTTAGGCCCAATGAAAACAAAACCGACTTTGGTTAGTTTTAGTGGAGAATAAGGCTCAATGTACTATCTAGAATACCTGTAATATCTAGATTTCCTGTAATATCTAGAATATCTGTAATATCTAGAATATCTGTAATATCTAGAATACCTGTAATATCTAAAACATCTAGTATACCTGTTATATCTAGAATACATGTAATATCTAGATTTCTTGTAATATCTAGAATATCTGTAATATCTAGAATACCTGTAATATCTAGAATACCTGTAATATATAGATTACCTGTAATATCTAGAATACCTGTATTGTCTAGAATACCTGTAATATCTAGAATGTCTAGAATACCTGTAATATCTAGAATATCTAGAGTACCTGTAATGTCTAGAATACCTGTAATATCTAGAATATCTAGAATAGTTGTTATATCTAGAATACCTGAAATATCTAGAATACCTGTAATATCTAGAATACCTGAAATATCTAGAATACCTGTAATATCTAGAATAACTGTAATATCTAGAATACCTGTAATATCTAGAATACCTGAAATATCTAAAATACCTGTGGTGGATTACCCCTAAACATAGAACCAGGTCTAGCAAAGTGAACTAGATATTCTTCATGCCATAAACCTCTGGTAATCTCGTCAGCATTATTCAGTTTAGAACCTTCAGACCTTAACAACAGTAATTTCATTACTTCCCAAAAGTATTTAATGGGGTCATTTTATCAAAATTAATATAGCGCTAGGCTGCTACGCGTCCAGCTTCGAGTAACTTTTAATCTTCTTCTACGGAATTTCTCTTTTTTAAGTATCAAACAATAACAAAAATATTTTACTTATTTATCGATTTTTCCCGTGAAATTTAAAAAATCGTAATTTTAACGATTTGTTTAATTCTGACCATCCGTAAACCTTTCCTGGGGTTCCGGGTTTCCAACAAAAGGGGGAAATCGTTTTGCGAAATATTTTTTCGCATTGCGTTCATAGAAAAAGCGGAAATTTCACAAACAAAAACAAAAAATATGCGACAATTTTTTGCGTCCCTTCGCAAAATCAATTTTCACAAAAAATGTAAAATTTCGCGAAAAAATGTGGGTTATATGAAATACAATTTTCGCGAAACTTTGCCTAAAAGACAGTTTTCTAGGATAGTTAAATGATCGTAGGACAAATGATAAATAAATCTGCAGCTTTCTGGAATAATTAAACGATCGTAGGACAAATGATCTGCAAACCAAATGCTTTCTAGGATAATTAAATGATCGCAGAACATATGATCTGTAAAGTTAATGCTTTCTATAGGATAATTAAATGATCTCAGAACATACGATCTGTAAAGCGGAAAGAAGTACAGGGTGTCCCAAAAAACATGGGAATTCAGTGACGAATTCTATATCGTCTTTGTTATGAATTAGCAATGTAATACCTAATTTCAAAACCCATAATATTATTTATTTTATAAAAAGGGTAAAAGACTGTAAAGATCAAGAATGTAATGCAAGGAAAGTTAATTGCGGTCGCATATACTCTGCGTACATATTGAAACCAGTTCTCTCTGGGCGGAATTTGTGAACAAGAATAGATGCATCAGTGTTCGTTTAGTATCCGAGGAGGTTAAAAGCATTAAATTTTGACAATTTTGATAATTGACATAATATTTTCCTATGACCAGAATATTTCATTGATTTTTTATGTGAATGATGGATCTATGTCAGGCTTCGACATCCGTCTTGTGTTCCTATTAGTGCCCAGAGACAGTACACTGCAGTACAAAAGATGTGTACACTTCTGAAATAACTTTCCTTGCATTACATCCTTGGTAAAGATGTGTCTATAATGTCTCCACAAGATGAACAGTGAAGACGGACAAGTTCAGAGTGTTTGTATACTATAATTTTCTTGTTTTACTAAGTACAACCGTATGCAGTCAAAACATAAACAAACAAAATGTGTGAACATAGCAGACGAAACTCTTACAGATTACATTTTTCTCAGTAGGTATCACTATATGAAATCAGAGAATTATTTAAAAAGACGATATTGAATTCGTTACTGAATTTCCATGTTTCTTGTCTACGCGGCTCTAATATGTCTCGATATTTAATAAATCTGGTCACTGACCTGTCATTTACAGAATCATCATGCTTTAGAACAAACCCAAGGATAGACAACATGTCATTGTTGTATTCGGTAGGGTGCACCTAAATATAATAGAGTTGTGCACTTAAAAATTAAAACACTCTCTTCCTATAAAAAAAATATAGGAAGAGAGTCTGACCTGGGTTGAAATGCCAATTTAAAGCTCAAAGGGACTGTAAAGGAAAAACGAAAGGGGATATAGGCTGAAAGCAAACCACTTTAGCTCTTGATAGCGACCCATGAAAGTTTTATCTGATGTTCCTGTCTCGAGAAATTGATATAAAGCTGTGTTAAAATTATACGAAAGTTTCATTTATGTAAAAATTACTTAAAAACAGTGACCAGAGCTGGGAACTTTAGAATGGATAAACTTTAATCTTGACTTCTTGATCCGAATATCCACTGTGGAAACTTTTCATTTTTGTCCTAATCCACTCTTTTTCTCTCTCCTTGGATATCCGTTAATTGTTTTCTCCAATGAGAATATTTCTGTTCTCTCATTGGTTGCCCGCTTTTCTCTGATTGGCTGCTACAGTTTCTCATATGATTAAATATTAATTTGAATTTTATCGTTTTTCATACACTTTTAAGATAATCTTGCAAGATTATGTTAATCTTGAGATTATCAAAAAGAGAGGATCAAGCATTAATCCCGATATCCACCATTCTAAAGTTTTCAGCTCAGAACTATCACCAATGGCAGATAAGTATACTGCGCGGTCACGTGTCTCCGCCTGTATCACGTGACCACTTTACTGCACTGCCATTGGTGGAATTTCTGGTCAAGCAATACGGACGTACAAATAATATTATGAATTAAATCTATAAAAAATAGAAATAACAAATATAAAATTAGAATTGGAGTAAACCTAAGTAATAATTAGCTTTCTCTGGGATATCATCGTTTTCAGATTGGTTGCATACTTGCTAAATTTGATCTTTTTAAGCCCAATACTTTTATACAAAATTGTATATATATATTAATTTTCGTATAAATTTGTCAAAGTTGTAAATCAATTTCTCGAGATAGGAACATCAGATATAACTTTCATGGGTCGCGATCGAGAGCTAATGTGATTAGCTTTCAGCCTATAACCCATTTCATTTTTCCTGTACAGTCCCTTTAAGACTAAAAAGGAATTGGAATATATATGTCATACAAAATAAAAACAGATATGGTTAATTATTAGGGACAACTTATTCCTTTGTAACCAGGAATTTTCACTTAAATTGATCTTTAATTTTTCCTGTAAAATAGTAATTTTCAAATCATTTTCAATTGAAACATCAGCAAAATACAACTTATTTGTATATAGGTAGAACTAAGATACTAAAAGTCAATTCGAACTGATTGTTTTCTTTTAAAAAATAGTTTATTTCTCATTAAAAAGAATACCTGATGTGCATGCCAAATTATATCCATATCATAACAAGGGACCAGGAAGGTTTCAGGATTTTTCTTTTTCAATCTGCAATTTATAAGAATTAATACAATTTATAACAATTAATACAATTTTTAATAATTAATACAATTTTTAAAAAGTTTGATTGTTAAAAAGCTTTTTTGAATTACAAGTTTACAAGTAATGAAAATGAAGCTTTTTAATTGACAGCTTCTCTTGACCTCTATGTTTACGTATATATCTCTGCTGTTTAATAGCTTGATATAAATCAAAATTAAAACCAAAAGTCGTCTTCATTGTATTGATATATGCGACGACGACTGTTTACCTGAGGTACATTTTATAGCGGCGCACACTCCCTTCATGGAACTCAGGGTCAGCGTAGTGGGGTAAAGAGACCTGGAAAACGAAAAATATTTTAAAAGGGGAGTCTGGCTAGACATGGTAATTGGTAACTGAGCTGAGAATGCAGTATTGTAGAGAAGTTCTTTAGGAATCATTTGAGACCTATGAGACGTTTTTATTGTGCATATTTGTTTAGCAAGAGCGCAAATTTAAGTCCTTAAATGAATCCTAAAAATTTCTTTACAAACTGCAAGCTCTGATCAACTCCTTTTAACACTTAAAAACTGTTATAAGGGGAAATTTCATTACTTTTATAAGAACCTTCGCTTTAAAAACACTTTACGCCCCTTTCTTTTTATAATTTTAGGTTTTTTTGTTTTACTTCAACGGCAGCAGTTTTTTCATCATACATTATACAAACAACCAATTGGAAGAGTTTTCCAAAAATTATTTTTAGGCAATTTTTCTTAAAATTTTGGTTTTGTGCAGCGACATAACAAACTTTTAGCCTAACAAATAGGACTTTTTTCCACAACGAATTTAGGTTTAGCGGTTTTAGGGTTTACTGGATACAGACAGACAAGAAATATATATATATTGGACTTGGATGAATCGGTGTTTTTAATAAGTTTCTTGCAACGAGGTTAAAGTGTATAGAGTGATGATATACACTAATCCTTTACTAATTTTATAGGCCATGAACTATACCGACAGCGCACTGCATATTTGTTTATTATAAGTTGATTCTGGCCTAACCTATAGTATATCAATATTAGTAAACAGTTGAAAGTGAACATGTTACAACTAACTGAGCACACAGGTATATAGAACTATCATCCCCCTGGTTTCTTGGATGAATCTGTGTTTTTGATAAGTTTCTGGAAGTAGATGAGACAGGATTTAGATTCAGTTCAAGAGAGCTAGAATTATATATATATATCTTTCATGTTTTAATTAGGAATGTTGAATAGATACAGGGTAACCCACAAAGGATAAGACTTCAGAGACGACTGTACAAATTTTTTTGAGTAATGTTTCTTGTTTAGATGGTTTCCTATAGCTTTAAACGCGCTGCTTATCTTGTCTTACTTAATGACTAGGGCCCCGAAACAATAATTTGGAAAGTTTACCAAACCAAATAATAGATTTTGGACCAATCAGGTCGTCTTTATTTTGTCTGTTCCACCTTTAAGCATTTATTAAAATTACCTACATGTTGTTAAGTCCTGTTCAATTCAAGAACCGAGCTAGAGCGAGCTGTACAGTACATATATATATATATCATACCAGGCAGAGCGGGACAGTACACCAAACGAACCAGCCCCCTCTAGGTAAATTCTCGTGTGATATTGTGTACCTGGTAGTAGAAAGATCGTTGTCTAGCGGCAGCATCTTCAATATTGTATCCAAACTTAGACTCCAGACCATTTTTAACATCATCTAAAACATCATAAATCTCCTTCTAACATTAAACATTTTGCCAAATTTTTTGTTGATGGCGGATAATTAACAATAAAAAAAGTTAAAAAATTACTTTTACCAACCTGTCTTAATTTCTTTTTCAAAATCTAAGTCGAATGGTTCATTAGGATATTCTTTCTCCCAGATTAATTTCGTTCGTTCTCTACAAATTATATTAAATTTCCAATATTAAAAGGACTGTTAAGGGAATTTCAATAGTTACATATTTTCTTTTTTCTAGATTAAAAAGATAAATTTTGTCAAATTTCCTCCTAACAAAGCTGTATAAATCAGATTTATGTAATAGAAAGGTCAGTAATAGATATGACTACCACTATTAAGTTACAAAGGTTACAGTTGTGAATTATGCATATAACTTTGAATTCAAAGGGAGTGAACGGCTATGTAAGGGAGTTGAACTGAGTATGCAGTGTTGTGGAAAACTTCTTTCGGATTCATTTGAGACATTTAAAACTTTTTAAAGATCTCTTAATCCTGAGTTTGAGCGCAAATTCGACGTTCAAAACTCCTACAACTGTACAATAAACTGCAGACGTCGTGAATAGGAACATGTTGAGAAAATAGAAATTAATCTTATCATCGAAAATAAGTAATCTTGTTCAATTATTAGTTTCTATTTTCTCATTATTCTGGTTTCTCATTCTTCACAAAGATTTTCGCAGATTTTCTAGAATTATTATTGAAAAGACGACATTTGAAAAATTTGAAGAAATCTGCCGCCTGCGAATAAATTCAAAGAAGATAAGAAATTCAATATAATAGTAAAAACGGATAATCGATTTTAGCATTGATTTATTGACAAATTTCTTTTGAGAAATATGTTCCTAACTATCCAATTAGATTACTGTATAATTCTTACTTTAGTTTTAGTTATTTAATAGTTAAAAAAAATTATCTGATTTAACAAAATGCATAAATTGATATAATTCGAAGGGTTGCAAAAATATAGAGATTAGAAAATCAGACTTAATTTCTTTTCTGTGAAAAGTCGATTTATACAAATATAAGAATAAAATGTAAATTAAATTAAAACATAATACAACCAACCTCAACCCCTTTAAATTGTCGCGAACACTCCCTATAATCGTAAATAAAGTCCAGTAAAATCACTCCCTGGTTATTTAATCCCAAGGAGTAGATTTGTTATATCCTTGATGAATAAATGTTTATTGGTATTCGATACAAACCGTTGTATTGGCTAGAATTTATAAACACGCATAAAAACCATGATTTTAGTTTTCTAGAATAACAAAAATAAAACCTAAAAGTTTACAACGAGTGTAAAGCAGTAGATTGAAAAGGTCTAACATAAGTTATTTTGACATTTTTGCTCTAGATCTTAAAATATAAAATATAATTGGGATTTATAAATTTACAATTCTTTTAACTCAACCGAATTTAAAAAAAAACTTGCCTAAAACTCTAATTATCAAATTACTATATCTTTGCAACATACTTATGTGAAACTTTTTAAGGGGGGAGGGAGGAAGTATAAAAGAAGGGGGGTGATCTGTTAGTCCTATTTCCACCCCACCCAAATGAAGGAAAAATAAAATTTTATCTTTTTCAAAAATGATTAAGTATCTACCTGAGAATTGCCAAATCTTCGAGACTTCGTAGTCTGTGTCCTAGCACCCTACCCACTACAGCTGTGCAATCTTGTCTAAAATTTTAAAAATTTAAATTAATTAAAAGGTTTTTGTTTTCTAAATTTGAAAAGAATAAAAAAAGACGCACTCTTAGATTCTTAAACTTTTTTTCTGTTTATATATTTTTAGATAATCAAAAAGTAATATCTGATGTTTTCTGATTTTTTAAGGGGTTTCAAAATGACGTTTATTAATTTCTACTATGGACAATTTTCTTGAAACACCCTTAGATTGTTAAAAACAAAATGAAACCTTGTTTACATTTATTTTTACAGAAAGTTTTACAGAAATGTAAAAAATTTAAATTAAGTTTTTTCAAGTCAATTACTTCTGTTAGCATGAGTATTGAATATTCACAATACAGGGTTACCCACAAAGGATGAGACTTCAGAAACGACTGTATGGAATTGGATACTATCTGTTCCTTTTCAGACCCTGCAACTGCAAACTTGTTTTTGTTCCTTGCAAAATCTTAAAATAAGCCATAAAACCCTGTATTTTAGTCATAGAACTTAATTCAACCATTAAATTGTCATGTTTAAGAGTTTCAGGTCGTCTTTACAGTTTCATCCTTAACAGACCCATTACACTCAATGAATAATTGCATATGTGTCTAGTCAGACTATTTACTTTGTAACAACATCAAATACAATTAAGTAATATAGCCATAAGGTCGTCTTCCTATTCCAGTATTTTCTGGTTAGTTATCACTGAAGTGTATAGTTGAAATAACTACATGGTAGTCACGCATGAGTCATACAACGAAATTTAAAGTATTATTTGGAAGAAGTTACACTTACAGTATGTCATCAGTAAAGTGTTTGCACTTACAGGGGTGTATATTTTCCTGAAACATAATCTCACCCCTCTATTGAAAATAGTTTTTTTTTTTCCCAGAAGTTAGATATGTTTTGTTAGTGGTTTTATTCTCTGAACTGGGAATCTAAATAAAAATCATTTCCCCGCTGGGGCCGGGGACAAGGGGACTGGAGGGGGTTTAATTCTTTAAAATATACACCTGTGATTGTTTACCTGTATGCTACATGGGCAAGTATTGGGCGGGAGGCCGGAGGAAGGGAGGGGGGTTAATTCTTAAAAATATATACCTATGATTGTTTACCTTTATGCTACAGGGGCAAGCATGGGGCCAGGAACAGGGGGATCAGAGGGGGGGGGGAGTTAATTCTTAAAAATATACCCTCATGATTGTTTACCTGTATGCTACAGGGGCAAGCATGTGCACGTGCCAAACCCAATGAACATCTAAAAAGAATATGCTTTACAACTTATTCTTTTTCAAGAGAAAATGAACTTTTTTTAAATATCATAAAAATAACTGGATTTTTAAAATTGAATATGAGAAATAAACATGGGGTCTTTTGGTCCATACAGGGACTGTACATTTGTAATTTCAAATGAACATTAAATTAAAGAGGGACTAGCCAGATTTACAATAGTACCCTTTAAACCTTTCAATAATCAATAACATGGAAGATGTTGTAGTTTTTATATCTTGAAAAGTATTCAAATTTGACATATTGTTTCAACACCAGAAATGCTGAAAAGTTAAAGTTTTAGTGTGACCACAGTTAAGGGTGCCATTGTAAATCAGAACTCATCATGCTTTAAACTTATGTCTACATTCCTTTTAATATGATAAACTATATAAATTCATTGTACATTTTTATTTTTCATACAACCATATCTTAGACATTATAAAGACATTAATTGAAAAACTGATGATTCAGTTATTTGATTACTCAATCAAATTACTAATTCATTATCTGATCAATTTTTTTGCATGTTAATTGATTGATTAATTAATTATGATATTAGTCGTATAATTAATTTATCTATTAATTTGTAAATTTTTTGATTAAATGATCTCTTGAATTGTTAAATTATTTAATCAATGATTTATCGTTAAGTTAAATTTTCTATATAAATTGATTAGCTGCTTCGTTTAATTCACTGCAAATGTGATTAAGTAATGATTTGAGAAATAATTGATTAAATAAGTAACTGTTTATAGTGTTTTAATAGATTGATTAATTGATTTACCTATGGGTGGAACAAAATCTAAATCTCTAACTGCTGTGGAAGATAAACTTGAGAGAAGAGGCATCCAGTATTTTTCATACCTAAACAGATAATTTCATACATAAACAGATAATTTCATACCTAAACAGATAATTTCATACCTAAACAGAAAATTTCATACCTAAACAGATAAATTCATGCCTAAACAGATAATTTCATACATAAACAGATAATTTCATACCTAAACAGATAATTTCATACCTAAGCAGATAATTTCATATCTAAACAGATATTTCTACACCTAAACAGATAATGTTATGTCTAAACAGATAGTCTTATCCAAAAACAGAGAGTTTTATACAGAAACAAATAATTTCATACCTTTTGTTTTGGTTATATTATTTAATTCCTTGTCAAGTTAACTAAAACCGTCTCGACATAAAGTATTGCAGTAAATTCTTGGAAATAATTTGAGTTTACCCCGGCCCTACTCCTTTTATACTGCAACCCTTTACTTCAAATATATTCTTTTCATGTTATTATATATTATTATATATTATTATATATTATTAGATATTATTATATATTATTATATATTATGATATATTATTAGATATTATTATATATTATTAATATAATGTTTGCATTTCTGTATGAACCCTGAATTAAGGGAATGGATGAAAGCAATAAACAGTATAACCCTCCAAATAAAGAGTGACATATCTGATTCACAATTCATACAATTACCCTGATTGTTTCACGTTAATGAGTAATTGCAATTTAATCAATTTTTAAATATTCCTTAATTAGACGAGTACATTGCTGAATCGGACATACCACTTGGGAGGGTTACTTAATCACCTCTTACAGCTAGTTCTTTTAAGATGACTCTGTTAACAATTAAAACTCATTAATCGCAGAAAAATAGGCTTTACAAAATTATAAATGAATAATGTTTTTTTCATGAATTATATAGGCAAGAGTTCGCTTGTTTTTCTAGTATAAGTAATGATGCTTCAGAAAAAAGATGTAAATATATAACAGAGAGAAATATGATACTTAGTAGATTCAAACTTCCAGAGGGATAAAAAAAAAAAAAAAAAGTATAAAAAAAAACAAAAGAAAAGCAACAATATATATTGTCCTATAAGTAAGAAGCTATCGCTACTCGCTAGATATTACATTTTTTTAAATCCAGTTGTCAACAGACAAAAAACACTTTTTAAGCCGCTTTTAACGTAATAATGATATTCGATTCAGAAAAAATAACATTTTTTTTCAAAAGAAGACCCAAGAATGTTTCAGCAAGAAAACTGATTACTGGCCTTATATCTTTGCAACCTGAGATTGCAGATTTTTGATATCTAAAGCTACGAACTCTCCTACATCTTTATAGGGTCAAAATTTCAGATATTAAAGGTTTTCACCAACATATATCAATATCTTTATCAATACCATACTCTACACTGTACACTACCTTCTTGATATACATGTACACTGCTCTGTACACTACCTCCTTGATATACCTGTACATTGCTCTGTACAATACCTTCTTGATATACATTTATACTGCTCTGTACACTACCTCCTTGTTATACCTGTACACTGCTCTGTACACTACCTCCTTGTTATACCTGTACACTGCTCTGTACACTACCTCCTTGATATACCTGTACATTGCTCTGTACACTATCTCCTTGATATACCTGTACACTGCTCTGTATACTACCTCCTTGTTATACCTGTACACTGTTTTGTGCACCACCTCCTTGATATACCTGTACACTGCTTTGTACACCACCTCCTTGATATACTTCTACACTGCTCTGTACACCACCTCCTTGATTTGCCTGTACACTGCTCTGTACACTACCTCCTTGATATACCTGTACACTGCTTTGTGCACCACCTCGTTGATATACCTGTACACTGCTCTGTACACTACCTCATTGTTATACCTGTACACTGTTTTGTGCACCACCTCCTCGATATACCTGTACACTGCTTTGTACACCACCTCCTTGATATACCTGTACACTGCTCTGTACACCACCTCCTTGATATACCTGTACACTGCTTTATACACCACCTCCTTGATATACCTCTACACTGCTCTGTACACCACCTTCATGATTTACCTGTACACTGCTTTGTACACTACCTCCTTGATATACCTATACACTGCTATGTACACAACCTCCTTGATATACCTGTACACTGCTTTGTACACCACCTCCTTGATATACCTCTACACTGCTCTGTACACCACCTCCTTGATTTACCTGTACACTGCTCTGTGCACCACCTCCTTCTCGTACATCACTTTTAGAAGATCGATTTGTTTAAGGAATTGGTGCTCCCAAATACCTAGGGTTACCAGGTCTTGGTTTATCTAAAATAAGCTCTTGTTGATAATTTCTTTTTTTTAATAATTCTTAATTAAATGAATTTATAAAACATATTCTCTACTAGCGGTGATAGTAACAATTCAGAGCTGAAAACTTCAGAATTGTTGATATCGAGATTAATGCTTGATCTTCTCTTTTTGTTAGTTTCAAGATTAGTTGAATCTTAAGCTTATAAACAACAGTGTTTATAACTTAACCAATCGAGTGGGGTTCGGAGAAACCATAACAGCCAATCAGATAAGCCAGGAAATTTGAAATTTTGCGCGCCATTTAATGAGTGAATTCTCGTTGGTCGGAAACTGGCAGTTAGAAAAAAGACAGAAAAAGAGTGGATTAAGAAGGAAATTAAAAGTATCCACATTGGATATTCAGATTAAGCAATCAGGATTAAAGCTATCCAAATCTAAGATTTCAGTTCCGGTACCGATAAAATCTTTGATGATTTGATTTATCCCCCATCAGTCAAAAGTTTTCAGCCCTGTGCTTGGATATTTAAGCAATTTATTTGTTTTATTATACAAGAGAGTTTATACTTTTTCAGGTTGTTATTGGATGTTTCTGTGAGATCCGCCCTTCAAAGTAGTGGTTCGTTTTTGATTGGGTTTTAGCAGATATTTTCTGTCTAGATCCAAATTTTTCAAAGTAAAGATGAGAAATTTTTAAAAAAATTTTTTATTCTAAAAATATGTGCTTTTCTTACAATCTGCCAAATTTTGAACCTGACAGAAAATACAATCTAATCTAATAATTTGCGTGTTTTTCAAATATGTTTTTTTGTATAAAATGTTGCAATTTAGAAAGTAAATTTTGAAATACTCTGAAGTTTTTTTAAAAGTGTTCAAAAAATAATTTACAATACCTGTATATCTGTCAACATGGAGTCTAAACGATTTTTTGTTTTTAATTCATCCATGTCTTCCAAATCCTGTCAATTAATCAATTAAGAAAGAGAAATTTAGGGAAATTTTATTGATCAACCATAGCCCGGATATTAGAACAAATTTTTGTTAGTAATTCATGGTAGTTTATTTAATTTTTGACAATACCTCCCTTTATAATTTGACAATACCTCCCTTTATAATTTGACAATACCTCCCTTTATAATTTGGAAAAGTATTTTTTAAATCAAAATGTTGTGGAAATGAACCACCAAGTAAATACCATAATAATATTTATTTAATAGGAAACCCTGAGACTTTACCCCAACTGTTAAACAAGAAAATCTGGAACTTTACCCCAACTGTTAAACAAAAATATCTGAAACTTTACTCCATCTTTTAAACAAAAAAATTACCTTAAGCGACACTTTTGACTTCGGAAATTTAGAGTCCCTTATCTTCTCAAAAAACTCAAACTAAAAAAATTTGCACTTTATTTGGGAGTTTTCCCTATATGGTGGATCAATTTTTACAGTGTGTAAGATTACAGATTATACGTTTCAAAACAAACATAATTATGAGGGGTGCAACATTGTTTAAAGAGGGAGTTGATATTTCAAGCGATCCTCCATTTCAGGAGTTCCAATTACTAACAGTGCTTTTTAAACCCATATCTGAGAAATGATGAGAAAGATATCTTCGCTTGTCTAACTTTTTTTTATCTGCTACATCAATCCATAAGCTATAATAGTAAATCCACATTTTAAATAGTATTTTAGATAGAATAGAAATTTCAATTTGAATTTAATTGAATTCAAAAATTATTTTAATCTGTTATCTGTTTACGCTATTTCATTCAAAACGCAAACACCAACAAAAAAAGTGCAAAAAGAAAAGTTAGAAATTTATGCTTAAAGGTAAATTATGACTCAAAATCTCAATTTTTACGAACCGAACCGTTAAATCTGCTTGGTAAGTTATAAAAAAGACATTTAGCATTTCAATCGATTTTTTGCGTTAACTATATCTAGGTTAATGTGTAAAAGTGGTGTGATACCCCTCAATTAGTAAAACTTTTTAAGAAGCGTATTTATTATTCATAAATTTACAGGTATTCCCAAAATTTTTATGACTTTTAATAATGGAATGGCTTTGACTATACCCTGCAAAAATATTGAATACATTTAAAAAAAAATCTTGAGGGTGATTTTCGGACCTAATTTATGTGATAGTTTGCAAGTTTTTCTCTCAACTAACAATTTCTCTCAATTTTAGTTTAATGAAGTTAAAATAAAAAGGGGGGGGAACAATGCTTTTTTTACATAATACATTTCTTCAAAGTTGGATATTAAAACAAGTTTAGCACTAAGTAAATGATTTCGTAAAAAACAAATATAAAACCTTATTATTAATGTAAATGTGATTTTTATGTGTCGCATATTAAACCTATAATTAGCTAATAGTCTCTCATTAAGAAAATCAATTTTGTATTCATATTAAATGGTTTTAATTGTAAGCCATGTGTTCCGCTAATTATTGGATAAGTGTTTATTATTTTTTTTCCAAGAACAATTATATATCTTTCTAGCTTGGTACAAGACCTAATTATCGTTATTGCCAAATAGCATGCAGGAAAGATTATTTTAATTTAAAATACAACTTAGGATAAAGGGACCGTTCACTTATTTGGGTAATTTCAGGGTAAACTAAACAGCCTATTCGCTATTGAATGGTAATAGTCTTTCTGTTCAAAGACAACTGTGGCCGGAGAAAAAGCCGATCTTTCGTTCAGAATTTAAGCGGAAAGGGACGGTCCCTCTCTTTAGACACTATTTGAAAAGTAAGACTATTACCAATAAACAGCGAATAGGCTGTTTAGTTTACCCTGAAATTACCCAAATAAGTGAACGGTCTCTATACAAATTAGTAAAAGGTTCTCTTGATTTTAAACAGCGACGAAATGGTAAAGAAAAATTGAAAAAAAAATTTTAACTGGGGGCATTTTTTTTTAAATTGGGGGCATTTTTTTCAAATTGGGGGCAATAGGGGCAAATGTGTTAGTGGAATTTGAAAAACAAATTTTAATTGGGGGCATTTTTTTCAAATTGGGGGCAATAGGGGAAAATGTGTTAGTGGAATTTGAAAAAAAAATGTTAACTGGGGGCATTTTTTTATAAAATCGGGGGCATTTTTTTAAGTTGGGGGCAAAAAATTATTTTGGGATCGAGAAAATCAGCTTTTTTGGGAATTATATTGACCCCTGAATTCAACAGCGAATAGGCTGTTTAGTTTACCCTGAAATTACCCAAATAAGTGAACGGTCTCTATACAAATTAGTAAAAGGTTCTCTTGATTTTTAAACAGCGACGAAAAGGTAATTTGATTGTTCTTGTCTTTTCTGAAAAGTGGAGTCTCTTATATCATTTCCTTTTTTACAGCTACTTTACATAGAAGTCGAGGAAATGTTTTTTACAGCTACTTTACATAGAAGTCGAGGAAATGTTGTTTTTTCAAGAGTTCTACGTGACCAATTTTGCCTACAAAACACTCAGAGCGTAGATATGGTTATTTTGTAGGCAACATGGATGAGGGGAACATTGGTTTTAGTACAAATTTTAATTTCCCGAAAAAGTGTTTGTATCTTATTAGATGAAAAATACGATTTACGATTAACGAATATCGTTTTACTTAATTGTCCCAAATGATAGTTTAACATTTTTTAAAATTCATATTTTTTGTTGTAAAACACATTAATAAATTGTGTATACAATAATAAACTTTGAAAAACTAAGGTTGCTGTGATTAATTGCTATATAGTCTATTATAAGTTACTAGCTCGGGAACCCAGCCTTGTTCAGTGTACCTCAGAGTTGCTCCCGCCGTATAACGGCGCTTGGTCGTAAATTACGATGTTAGCTATTTTTCCCAGTAAACTTGGGATCTCAAAACCAAGTTAAAAACATTTCAGTGGTTTCCCAATCTAAATTTGAGACAACTTGATCACGGGGTTACTGAATTATGATCAGAAATAAGAACAGACTAACCTACAGGGTGTCCGAATAAACATGGGAATTCAGTGACGAATTCGATATCGTCTTTTCAAATAATTCTTTGATTTAGTATAGTGATACCTACTGAGAAAGTTGTAATCTGTAGCTAAGTTTCGTCTGCTATGTTCCACATTTTGTTTGTTTATGTTTTGACTGCATAAGGGTGTACTTAGTAATACCAGACAATTGCAGTATACAGACAGGGTAAACTTGTCCGTCTTCACTGTTCATCTTGCGGAGACATTATAGACACGTTCATCTTTGCAGTCTTTTACCATTTTCATAAAATAAACTATAGCAGACATAATAATATTATGGCTTTTGAAATTAGGTGTTACAATGCTAATTCATAACAAAGACGATATCCACTTCGTCACTGAATTCTCATGTTTTTACACCCTGTAGATTACAACTTTTTATATATGTTTAAATGCGACAAGTTGGAATTATTTTTTAAGCGTGGTTTCGACATACCTGAGAGTCTGCAGTTGAATCCATTTTTTACCGATATATCTGAAATTTTACCTAAATTAATCTTTTTAAAGTTCTTTGGATAGATTATACATTTCAAAGAATGTTAAAGGTACGCTCTGATATTAGTTCCTGGGATTTACAGTTAATCCGACATGAGAGAGTTAAGAAATGATTTAAAGGATTAAAGGATTTTAAATATAAATGTTTTGACCTCCGTTCTATCAAATTATTAGAATATTAAAATAATTTTGCTTGTTTTCTAACTTTTCATGTTTCATGTTTTCTCCCGAATTTTGATGAATAATAAATTGTCTGAGATGAATGGTTTGTCGAAACTTTTTACTGAGTTTGGCAGCTGGGATGAACTCAAACACGGCGGTTTATACAACTAAATTTAGGTCAGTAGGAAAGATAATATTTAAAAAAGAAAAATTATTTCACATCAATCCAGTCAACCTTCATTTTGTGCATAACACGTGGATGGGTCTACCACATATACATACTGCAGGTAGGTAGCCTAGTCCTGATATTGGGATGCAAAGATATAGGGATTAGAAAATCAGCGTGTGTGGCAATTAGACTCTATACCTTTACGAAGGGATTTTGTTTCATTTCAAACCAAAAGGTACGAATAGATAGACCTTAGAGCTAAATTTACTTTTTAACTGGCACCAGAGTCCTCATGAGCACATGTATTTATTAATTATGCTAAATGTTTATGGTTTAAAGAAAGATGAGTTTCATTCTTAATTTTACAAGAAGAAATGGGAGGAAAATTAACAAAACTAAAGAATTCAGGGGGGGAGGTAAATGACTGCACCCCCCCCCCCTTTGGGCATTGTTTGATAATTTGAAAGGAAACCGAAATTTGATAGTAAATAATTATAGATTGATATATGAATGCACATTTAAATTAGCAATTTAATTTCATTTTTAAATTGTTTTTTTTTGTTTTTTAAATTGTTTTTTGTCTTTAAATGGTTAGAACATAAGACCCAAGGGATGCCCTAATGCACGTCACATGAATTGATTAAGAAATTGAGTTTTTTCCCAAAATTTTAATTTTCTTATCAATATATCTTTGAACCCTGATCGTGATATTTTAATTTCAGATCATTTGATCTAACAAAATTCCTAGTTTGAAATATTTAGGATATACCACATTTGGTTGCAAAGATGTCTGGATTTAAAATCTGATTTTGTGGCAAAGATTCAATTCAGTTGCTCATTAACTTATGCAGTACACTATACTTTTCTTTTACACTCTCAGACAATTATTTTTCAATAGACACCCCTATTCTTTATATTGTTAATTTAGTTTATGTAAACTGTATCACATTATACACCCCTAGTCTTTATATTGTTAATTTAGTTTATGCAAACTGTATTACAACTTTTACTGTTTGAGGTAATCAGTAACGAAAAACAAACCTTACTCAGACCAACTTGACTGCTTGTAAAATAGAAACATTCTTTTTGTTGATGACATACACAAAGTACAATCTACAGTATAGCAATAATAGTTGCGGATTTTTTGAAAACTTACATAGCAGATTTTGAAGCTGCAAAAATAAAAAATAATGACAAATTTGACAAAAAGAAATAAATTGTATCGTTTATTGACGAGCATGCATCATCCATCCTGTTTAGGCTTTTATCAGTTGTTTCGTCTCTAAATTATCAAATAAAAGTCTTCACATATAAAAGCCTGTACTAATATAATCTTAAAACAAATTTTAATGGGGAAAAAAATATGCTTCTGAATTTATTTTAATTTTTTTTTATAATTGATCAATTTCTTCAGAATTTATTATACAGCACTGACGTCGTGTTTTTCTCATTTATAATAATTTTTTGGGGGGATATTTTTTCGAATAATTTGTATGCTATTTTACATATTTAATTCAACTCAAGGACTCTTTTTATTCTTCATTTCTAGTTTTTTAATAATTAGCATGACAGTTGTTTATTAATACTTGTAGTTGTACCCCCCCCCCTTCCTCTTTTTTATCAAATAAATATATTTGTGATACCACAGCTATTTCAGCTGAAAACTAATGTATAAAATAAAATATTTTCAACCCGCCAGAGAGCAAATTGGGTTTATAAATTTTATACCAATTTTCTCGTAATTATTTCATCGATAAATTGTTGTAAATTATAGTGCTGGACACCCAGCAAACACTTGGCGTGTTTCTGTTTATTTGTACTTCGACCCGGGGCAGCCTTGGAGAAATACACGTTGGGCCTCAATCTGGGACCAGCGTGGCCTCTGAACTGAGTGTAGATGGAGAAAAGGCGGCCTCTAAACTGATTCTGAATGGAGGCCTAGCCTCCCTCTATATTTCAATCCAAGATAAACTATTTGAGTGAATTAAGGATTAGCTTGAAAGGAACTGAAATTAATACAAATTAAATGTGTTAAACAATCTACCAAAAGCATATGTGCTTTGTGTTTTCATTCATAGCCAAAAATAAAAATTTTTCTAATCCGCAGGTAAATCGCATAACTAAGAATAAAATTTAATCGAAAATGACTTATCTTTAGTAGCATATTATAAACAACATTGATAAAAAAGAATTGAAAAATTCTAAAACTCATTCAGAATTAAACGAATTAAAAACACACACATAATTAGAGAGGTCGAATTTAGATTTTCAAACTCTTAAAAGATGCATATATATGATATAGAACTGTTGAATGCCCTCCATTTCGGAATGTTTTGATTATAACTAGCAACTAATCCTTTTGGGATTTTTAATTGATTGAATTCAGCCATGAAGTGTTTCAAGACGGACATTTAGATTTTTGATTTTGCATACCCATTTTAATTCATTTTTACGGTTTTTTTTCTCGTTTACATTATTGTGAAGATACTTTTAAACCTCTTGTAAATGTAAAACTAAATGCCTTATTTTTTCTAAAGAAAGGGTTAATTATAATGAAATAACCCCAATTTTATTGAATGAATTACCTTTACCATTTGTTAACGACTTAAAACATCTAGGAAATGTTCTGCAAAGTGATAATTCAATGACCATAGATTGCAATAAAAAACGAGCTATTTTCATTTCAAAAATTCATTCTCTTAACCAAGAATTTTATTTTAACAGTCCTGATGTTATTTTGAAACTGTATAATATTTATTGTTGTAGTCTTTATGGATCTAGTAATTGGGACTTGAGTTCCCAATGGATTTCAAGATTGTATACAGTATGGAATACTGCTATTAGAATTCTTTTTAATGTACCTAGAGATACGCATAGGTACTTGATTGAAAGTATTTCACAATATTTACATGTAAAAACCATGTTAACTAGTAGATGTGTGTCTTTCTATGAGACTATTGAAGCAAGTTCTAAGCTTTGCATTAGATTTCTTTCTAATTTATGTAAAAATGACCTTAACACAGTTCTTGGCAGAAATTTATTTTCTATTGCAAATGATTGTTCTGTAAATCCTTCGGATCTTAGTAAAATGTTAGTTAAGAAACAAATGAAATATTTTGATGTCCCATTGGACCATGCATGGAAATTTCCGGTTTTACAAGAACTTTTAAATACAAGAACGAATAATTTATATGTTGAAGGATTCGATGATTATGTAATAACTGAAATGATAAATATGTTATGTAATGAGTAAAAATCAATATTTTCTATTTGCATATTTTTCTCTTTTCTTTTGGAAACCTGTATTTTCAAAAACTTATTTAAACAAATTTAAACTACACCATTTAAATATGTATTTATAATTTTGTGTGTGAATAAATCTTTATATAAAAAAAATTACAAAGACGACTTGTAACTCTTAAAATATGACGATCTCAAGTTTAATGTATATCGTCTACCTTGAATGTGGCTTTCAATGGCTTATTAAAATATTTGACAAATAAAGAATGAAGTTTATAGAGCCTTTCGAAAATCATGAATTTAAGAAAACGGACAGTATACATTCCACACAGTCGGCTTTCAAGTCTCATCTTTTGTGGGTAACCCTGTAGTTGAAATATTCAACGCATCTTCATAGAAGATTTTCGACAGATTAATTTCAATTTTGAAATAAATTTCAATTTTAAATTGTCAATTATTTGCATTGATAAGATGTACATTTGAGTTAAATAAATCTAATTTTCACTTCTCTGTTTGCAATATTCACTGTATTTCATGCAATGAATTTGAAGACTGTTGTATAATTTACACAAAACACATATTATTTCAACATCTTCTGATTCAACTGAGAAAACGGAAAGTCTCTTTTAATCATATTTCATTATGTAATTTCCCAAATGCTTTTACAAGCAGCTCTGTATAGTACAGGATCAATCATAATCCTCTATTTTAAAAAATTCCAAATCTTTTTTCTAAACTGAATAACTTTTTCAAAATTCAAATTTTTTTTCTTTTTTATTTCTAAAATTTCACGGGCAACGCCTGGCACTTCATCTAGATATGAATAAATCAAAATATTGTTTTATTTCTACCCAATATATCTCTATTTACGCGGTTATTTCCCTTTATCTTTTGCAAACATGCCTGACCTTCAAAATTTTCGGATTTAATGATTGAGTTGTTTTTAGCAATAAACTGTTTGTTATTTTTTGTTGTAAATGTAAGGAGTTGAATGAATTAAATCCTTTAATATTATCAATAATGTATTACCCCTGAAATACATGCATATATATTATTATATTTATATTATATGTGTTTCATTTTTAAACCCTTTTTCTACTAAATGCAGAAAATTAAATTAAATACGCGTATTTTGCGGATTCTTTAGAATTTGGCTTGTTCTGTTTAACTTGGCTTAATGGTTTATATCATGACATCACATTACCAGAAAGTCAAATCCCCTTCTCCCAACCTCTACCCCCCGATCCTCTATTTTAATCCCCTTGAATCATTTCAATGTTTAGATGAGTCAGAGATGAGTTGGAATTCCCAGAGTTTAAAAACCGTAATTCACACAGATAGAACAACTAGATGTTAACCCAATCCCAATCGGAGGGGCAGGGACGGGGTGTTTTCTACAATAATCTTATTTCAATTCAAAAATAAAGTTTTAAAGTTTTAATCTCTCATTATTAGTTAAATTCCTTGCGGTGAATGTTTCAACTGAAATGTATAAGTTTCATAGAGTTATATGCACGTCTTGACTCTCTACAAATCCCTGACTTTGCTCAGCTCAGCATATCTCCTCCGTTCAGCTTGACCAGCAGCAATATCTCAACGTAGCATATCTTTATACTCCTTCATATTATCAGGTTTCTTACCCCAGCTCCAGCATCATAGTAACCAAATAGAATAGAATATATTAGAGTGGAATTTACTAGAAAAAAAGTGTAAAACGGCCATTTTGTTGTACTGTTTCCATACTGCAGGTGAACTCACATATTTGTGCTATGTAACCTTTTGGGCCCTGGAACATCATTTTATAGAAAATCTAAAATTAATATTAAAAAAAATTAAATTATGAAATAGGCTGGTTTCATAATTGACCAATGATCATTTCAGATAGACTCTATGCCTTTCACTTTACAAACGATGATTTTCCGTTATAATTATAGATCAAATGATGTTTTTCATTCACCTAATTCATTTTATAAAGTTTATTTAACAGCTTTAAAAAATTCGAAATTGAAATGGATAGTCTAGGGAACATACTGTTTTAATGTATAACTCTACTGCATATAATTTGTAAACATTTACATGATTTGTACACGTTGAAATCCCTTTCAGGCTGAAAGGGACTGACAAAATGCATACCGAGGGATTGTCTAAATTCCACTCTAATATATAATCTATTCTCTTTGCTAGTAACTGTGAAAGGATCGTGTGTTTTCCCGTGTAACGTCGGTTTCCCATGTTTGAGTAAATGCCTTGTTCTCTACCTTCTGTTTCACTGCTTGTAGTCTCCTCCTTAGATTCAATGTTTACGAAACCCATAACACGAGCCTTTATCTCTATACTTGGTCATCTTCTGCATTAAAATCTCCAGTTGGCTGGGAAGAGAGCTTTCTCCTTGCTCTCTGGTAGACTCCACATCCGGTCCCGTGTCGTAATCGTCACTAGATAAACTACCTTACCATAAATACCAACTGTGCCACTGTATCAATTTCACGTTCAGCAGCCCCAACTTCTGCTACACTGTTGTCAACCATTAACAATAGGTCTCCGTGTAAAGTCGTCTTTAACTTAGGTCCCCTCTTGGAGACACCAAACCAAACAATTTTAACCCCCTTTTCTTTGTTCTCCCTGACAAAACCTCGCGTATTGTGAATCCATTTTCAAAAGTTAAACAAAGAATAATTTCATATAAAGAATTAGTGACTTTCGTTAATAATCAATTGTCATCTTATTTCAGAAGTTTAAATCGTCTCTTAGTACTGTTCAACCAATGTTATCCCCTTTATCACCCGCAAATAGATCGGAAGGATTTTTTTCATTATAAACATTCATTATAACATTTGTACACGTTATCAATATATGTAATTTTTTCAGGAAATAAAGAGAATTTTTTGTTATCGATTTTTGAGACGGGGGTTCATTCTGTTGTGAGTTTGCTGTTCCAATTGGGAAATATTGTTGGGAAATATATATCCTTCAACGACTGATTCCAGCGGGCCTATTATCACTTCATCTTGAGAATCTCGTTTTCTAGCCGTCAACAAGTGTGTAGCCCTAATTTCTCTAAATGGTACTGCTTCCCGCGCTTCTCCGTGAAACCATGGGTTCTCACTTTACTTTTTTTTCAACTTCTAAGTAAGTGGTATCTAGCTTGAGTCATAAATCCATCCTCGCACAACCCCTTTTGTAATAATGCCAAAACTCCAAAAGTGTTCTCTAAGTAATCTCTAACTTCCTCTGAGGTCTAAATCTATTTCTCTACCATTCCCGTTACCCGTTCCATTATTTAGGTATAATGGAACGGGTAACATTAAACTGACCAATAGTCAGATCTTTGAACTTTATAGGTTTAGCATATAACATTGTAAAAAGATATGATATGATTATATTACATTTATTACATATATTCAATTTTGAGTTCTTTGCATTTCTACTGTGCAGGAGTTAAACATTTAAAAGCATAGGAAAATGGCTCTATTTTCCACAGTCTGATCAAATAAAGGTTATAATTTTCAAGGGTACTGTTGTGAATCGTACATTGTCATCTTAAAATGGAGGGTCACTTGAAATTACGCTTATTTTACTTTTAGAGTTAAGAATTACGAATATTATTATAAGGCTAGATGTTAAAACAGGTTTAAACCTAGGAAAGTTTTAAAGTTGAAACAGGTTTAAACCTAAGAAATATTAAAAGTTGAAACAGGTTTCAACCTAAAATAGGTGAAAGTTGAAACAGGTTTAAACCTAGGAAAGTTTTAATGTTGAAACAGGTTAAACCTAGCTAGGAAAGTTTTAAAGTTGAAACAGGTTTAAAACTAGTAGATAGTCTTCAGATTAAACAAGTTGAAACTTAAGATAGGTTTGAAGTTTAGATGAGTCAAAATCGATAAAAAAGTTTGGAAATGAAAAGCTCTAAAATAAATGCAACTTCAAACTACTGACTAACGATTAAGAGTTTATTGCAAAATACTTTTAAAAATTTCTGTTCAGGAAACTTTATTGTTTTTCCCTAACAGTACACAGCAAAAAGTTCATAAACAAAAAATAAGTTTGTTCTTGAAAAATTTATAGATTGATAGAAAGAGAAACAGATAAAAGGTAGTTAATATGCTTTAAAAATAGATTAAAAGATTAAGAAACAGATAAAAGGGGGTTATTATATTTTAAAAATAGATTAAAAGATAAAGAAACAGATAAAAAGTGGTTATTATATTTTAAAAATAGATTGAAAGATAAACAAACAGATAAAAGGTGTTATTATATTTTAAAAATAGATTAAAAGATAAAGAAACAGATAAAAGGTGGTTATTTTATTTTAAAAATAGATTAAAAGATAAAGAAACAGATAAAAGGTGTTATTATATTTTAAAAATAGATTAAAAGATAAAGAAACCGATAAAAGGTGGTTATTATATTTTAAAAATAGATTAAAAGATAAAGAAACAGATAAAAGGTGGTTATTATATTTTAAAGATAGATTAAAAGATAAAGAAACACATAAAAGGTGGTTATTATATTTTATAAATAGATTAAAAGATAAAGAAACAGATAAAAGATAGTTATTGTGATAAAAAAGTTAATGATAATGATAACGTTTATTGCTAAATATCGGTAAAATTTACAAAAAACTTACAACTTAATCAGGAACTCAAGGTTCACATGTACACCATAGCCAATATCAATCCGGATACAGCTCAGTCTGTATTCCCAGGTATCTGTCATACAGATACAATCAATTTATATCCCAATCTATATATCTATCTTTTAAGAAAGTGATTCAGGACGCTTCTCGTTCGCTTACCAAAAAAACAATTACTCTCACACTGTAATCAAAGCGGAGTATTATCGCAACTAAATGTGTTTTTGGTTATATGAAACAAGTTCAGTTGATCAACGTAATTACCAGTTCTTTGACGTTATATACTAATGTAATTAAGCTACAGGTTTTACGTATTTATATACAGCATAGTTAAGTCAAATCATGTTACATAGTTATTTACAGCGCAGTTAAGATGATTAATAATGTACAACGTAGTTCAGGTTTACAGATGGTTATGCGATATCTATTACAGATAGATAGATAGATAGATAGATAGATATTTATAGATAATGAAGGTTGAATCTAATGTATTTGAACATGAAAAGAAGAAGAAGAAGAAGAAGGTAAAAACCTGATGAAGACAGATTTAAACTGTTTAGAAATGGATTGGTTTCAATTCCACCCTCCACTAAACCCTACTATATCTTCGGTCAGTGTAAAATTAATGCAGAATGCACCGAAAGCTTAGTTGAGTGTGATTCCCCTTATTCAAGGGTACCGTTGTGAATCGAACTTGACTCTCGTAAAAAGGAAAGTCACTTAAAATTCCAACGATAATCCCGTTATTCTTCTATATCTTTTTTTAACGTTCATAATTTCTATTGAACATTTATTCAATAGTTGCCGACAAAAAAAGACTTTAAAAAGGACTGAACACAGTACCGGAGTTTTAATGCTTAAAATTCCAATTGTTCAATAATGCTTTAAAGTAACCGTAAAAGGATTAAGAAGAACTTTGGATAAGTCAGGGTGAGTAAAAATCAGAAATTATAGAGTTATTTAAAAAAAAAATATAAAAATCATGTGTTAGAAGGATAAATATGGAAAGAAAGTGAAAAAAAATCTGCGAAAATATAAATTCTTTCACTTGTCAATAGTTTTTTTTTCTATAATATATTGGAACAGAATTGAAAGGTATAAATGTTTTCCAATACATTTCTATGTTTCAAAACGTATTTTGAATTTTGACGATTACATTTTTGTTTAAAACAATTTTAATCCCGGAAAGTTTTTCTCACCCTGAAAATTCAACATTCAGTATTAGTTCGAGTAGGAATGATTTAAAGTAAGGAGTAGAAAAGACGACATTTCTTGTTTTATCAATATTGTAAATGAGGGAAGTTTTCTCAGTTCACAGTGTATACCGTACACCTAGTCGTACACTGTACACAATTAATAAAACGTGATTTGTGATAAAAACATTAGTTGTTAGTTGGAAACATGAATATTAATGTAAGTTACACGAGTTTATTTTAATAAACATGTCAAAATGTAAAACTATTTTCAGCCATAAAGCTATGAATTTTCACGGCCTAATAAGTTTACAAAATGTTCAGCCCGCAGATGGTGTTTTTTAGTTCTTATATTTCATTAAAACCTTGTAGATTTTTATTTCTATCCCTTAAGTTATGCGTTTCTAAAATAATAATATGTTACAGACTACAGTGAATCCCCGATATTTTTTATAATGTCGTATTACATAATTAAGATCAAATGCCGAGGAAAAATGAGTTTAATATTAATATATTAATTGCATTTTGCATTTTTCAGCGGCATTTGATCTTAATTATGGAATACGACATGATAAAAAACTCTTGCTATATTCATATATTTAGGATTCATTTTATGAAGCAGTTATTATATGTGCTAGGTATGGGGATCAAGGCAATGAAAGGTAAACATTAAATAGAAACAAATCTAATCATTGAAACTAAATCATAGTCAATTAAAGTACAGGGCCGAATGTCCACTAGCCAGAGCTTGTACGGTACAAGTACAGTACAAAAAACAGACTTTGTGAGGCAAACCGGGACGGTATGCCAAATGAATGAACCCCTTCTAGTGAAATTTATGCAATATGGGCCCGATAAATTCATAATTTAGTCCTGCCAATTCCAGAATGTATTCAGCCTTTTTTTCGCACTTTACATATTAAAAGATTTTTGAGCGTTTGACGAGTTGTAAAACTGTAATTAGTATTACATACAATTACCAATTTTCTCATTGGGATGAACATTTTTTCTTTAAAGAAACAAATAAACATATTTGGAAAGGGAAATACTGTTTATAAGTTACCAAAGTGTTATTGTTAAAGCTTATCCTTTATTTAAGTTTTGATAACCAATTAAAAAATATAATCTGTTATCAAATTATTAAAAAGATTTAATATTTATTTTTAAGGAAAATTCTAAAAGTTCTATCAAATGAAAACCAAAATTTAGAAATTCAACCTTATCTAATCAATTCTTGTTTAATGCTTAAATGTGACTTTAAAACTTATTTTCAAGGCAAAAACTGGCCTTGGCATGGGAGCAAGAAATTAGGTAAGATTTCCCTAATTTTTATCATAATTACTTTTTTAAAACTTAGTATATAATTCTTCATTTTAACTTTACTTTTACCTGTTAAACTTTAAAGTACATTATTAATTATAATTTATAGAGTGGTCGGTTGTGTACATCACGATATGTTTACGTATCTAACACTGTACACTTGTATATTGACTGATCGTATTTCTTCGTTTTATTACTCTATGTGTAAACCTTTGATATTTCAAACTTTTTTACCAAATATTTTACCAAAATAATTCAAAGTTTGAATACATTTCGAACTTTTTTACATTAAATGTTTACATTAGCCTTTAGCCGTGAACGTTCAGAAAGATAAAAATATTTTTTTTTAAACTAACCATAGAAGAATACAATTTCTACAATAAATCTTTTGGTTTTATAATTCCTGACTCCAGTGAATTAATGATATTCGCCAATATTCTGCAGGGGTGCTAGGGGAGGGCGTGCTCCCGGCTGCCCCCGGCCCCCCTTGTTGCGCCTCGGTATATCTCTGATAGTTCTTCAGCTGTTTATATATAGCTACCCTAACTGTTTACACCTAAATATTGCTAGCTGCCTCAACTGTTAATTCACCGTTTGCAGAGAAATATTTCCAGCTTCTCCAACTATCCCTATCTCAAATGTACACATCTTTAGCTACCCTCGACTGTTCTCATAAGTTTTTTTTACAAGTTTCTCAACTATCCACATTTAAAAAATAGTTTTCCTAATTGTTTAATTATACATATCTCAAGCTTCTCAAACTGTTTACACATAAAAAATAGTTTCCCTAACTGTAATGGAGGCCCGAGGCCAAACCTTCATTAGAGGCTATATCTACCTTACAAAAAAATATGCTATCATAAATCTCCTCTTATTTCCACAAAAATATCTGCTCATAGTCACTTTTTTTCATTCACCTTCTTTTCCCCTTCAAGTTTGCTTTCTCCAAGATAAATCATCCTGACCTATATTTTCTAAAATATTTGGGAAAATAAAGAAAAAACATCCTTTGGACAGATGCGACCATTTTGATAAAAATTTGATTCAAGATTATATTATGTTTTGCCCTTAGTCGTAACTATTGATGAATAGTAAAACAGTTGTGCACTTTTATGATTCATAGTTCACAATAATCTGGCAACTGCAAATATAGGTCTTCTGAAATAGCCTGGGGATTTACAGGAGAGGGCATCCCAAAACCTCAAAAACAAAAAATCAAACTTTTTTAGATCAATTCACAGATTTAATCTAACAGTATCTTTAAAGAACCTGTAAAATCTTTCCCTGGGATATTTAGAACGATGAAAATTCCCCTTTATGATACTTGAAGGATTGCAGCATGGTTTTGGTGAATTATATAACCGTACAAAGCCTAGGAGTGTCAGGCATTATTTTTTAACATATTTTTTCATACGTCCTATAAACCGGATAAAGTTTAATTTTTGATAACACTTTTTATCCTGGATAATTGCAAATATTATTACTTATTTATAAAATTATCCTTTTCATAGTTCTAAATATTCCAGGGAAAGATTTTACACCTTCTTTCATAATTCCAAAGTAAAATGAAAACCAGGTTTTCTCTGCTTACTTGTCTTCGTGCCTAAACTTTTCAAGAACCTTTAAAAGATTTCAATGTTTCACAAAGGTCTTTCAATGCAAATAGAAAAATCTGCAAAATCATTCATTTACATTTACGAGAAAGATAAGGTATGCAGATAAATCAGCTCAAAAAATGAAATTTTTAACGCAATTAAGGCGCTCGAAGAGCCTTGAAAGCCTAGCTTTAAAAAAGACAACTATGCATAGCTATTTAAAATACTGGTTACAAGTTAAAAAACCAAAATATGCATGGTCATGGAAATTTTTAATTGGAACCTATTTTTTCGTTTATCCCTCTAAAATTAAAAAATAAAATAGAATTTTATTACAGTTGTCCTCAGAACACATAATGATTATGAATGTATTGTACAGGAGTTGTATAGAGGATGATAAAAGAAAATTAACTGGTCTTCAATTTATTTTTCCAGGAGTTACTTTATTCTACATAGAGGTAAGTTCTACCACCCCCCCCCCTTCCCTTTCTCCTCCTTAAAGAGCCATAGAGAATTCTCTATGTAAAGAGCTCATCAAATCACATTCTGACATGAGCTATTAGAATCTTACCAAATACTAACTTAAGCACAGATGCTAAAATCGATTGCACGCAGCATCTGTAAATCTTAAATCCAGAAGCACAAAAAACGGGAAACAAGGCCATGCAAATCTTCTAAACTGGCCCGGTCTTATTAGCTGGTAAACATTAAATATTTGAATAGTTGTGTAAATTGTTTTCAATAACTTGAACCTATAAGTAATAAATTTTATAAATAAAGAATTAGTTGCCAAGCCACACGTTGAAATCACTGAAATTCTTTAATTTCCAGGGTTTGGAGGATGATTTGAATGAATGTATTCGTCTGCTTAACACCCTGGCTAACAAACAAATGTACGGACTTAATAAAATCAAAATTGTACATTTTCTCCACAATTTGAGAGCGGTAAGCCTATTTTTCTATTTCAAAATGTTCATACACAGCTAAGTTTGTCTAATCCCTTAAATTTCCATCGAAGGTGCTACTCAATGGATCTATAAGGCTTAAAAATGTCGTTTTTAACATCCATGTTAAAATTATGTTAGATTTCTGGAAACAGATATTATTAAATATAGAAACAGTTTTCTGTTTATTAAATATAACATTGTTAACTATAAAGGTACTTTTTGTGCTTAATATTGGGTATATAAAAATAAATATAAAGTTAAAAATGTAAAAGCGATTTTAAATCATCAGTCCATCGCCATAATAGATTGAGAACTTGTACTTGACCGTCTGGAAGTTGTTGAGCATTTTGACATAGTGCTTGATGACCTTACAGAGGTTCCTGAAACTCCTCTGGAGGTCCACGAAGACCCTGGTCCTGAACTCCAGCCTCCGGAACACCAGGAGGGTGAGGAGGAGGCTGTTGAACTACTCCGAGACTGTTCAGAACTAGAGTCGGGGGACTGAACTCGGGAACTGAACGCAAACCGGTTACTCGCCTGAACATAAACTTCATTATATTCTAGCGCTTTTTGAGCTAAATCCTATTTCCAGATTTCTATATTTCTTTTTCTGGGTGGACAAGCGCTGCGACCACGTGCAGGGTTATCTCTGTTCATTCAGAAGGTTAAACGTGATGAAAGTGTATTGGTGTGGGGGGGGGGGGTCCAATTCGTCTGAACTAGGAAAATTCTCCTTAAAAAACGGTATAAAGAAAAAAAATAGAGATGTTGTAAATAAGATAAAAATCTTTAATTTAATTTTTAAGAGAACGAATATAAATGGAAGTTTGATATATTTGACTAAGGGTCAGGGGGGGATCGATTAGGTGGTAAGGCCCCCCCCCCCAATACGCCCCTGGAGGCTTTGTGTGCATTAATGGGCCTTGCAAACACTTGCCAAAAATTGTGGCACAAACCCCATATATCTAAATCTGATGCAAATTTAGGATCAATGGTAAAACCATATTTATGAATAAAATGGAGAACTTGATAATTAGTTATAAAAACATTACCCAAGAGTTTTTTCTTTCCTGTTCTGCTCTTTGGATCAGTGTTGTAATATCGTCCCCTGAACATCAATCATAATAATTATACAAATCTGAAGGCCACTG